ATTTGCAGGCGCAGCCTGAATGCATCCCACAGGAACGCAACAGCAGCTTCAGTGTGATCACACCAGCCCGAAACAGCGCGCACCGATTCACACTGGAGGCGCTGTACATTCGCAGTTTGAGGCCAGAACTGTGTCGACAAAAGAAGCACATCAAGGTGCTACGGCTGTTCAAGCTGCAACCGGACTGACAACTTTATCACGTGTTTGTTCTGGTACTGCATTCCCCTCATGTGTTGTTTCCCGCATTTTTCCACTGCTCCATACATTCTTATGGTAGTGTAGTGTGAACTTGAGGCGCGTAAGAATATTCTTGCTGATTCTCTACCCCCAGTATAAATTCTGGCTTCGTTTTCGTTCTTGCTCATTCCCATGTAACCACTGATGAAAATGGGTGAAAAGCTTTTGGTATTATGAAACTGACAACCTTGTTGTTGTGTGTATATAAATTTTGTTCGCCTACCTCTCTATTTAAATATATATATATATATATATATTAACTGGTTTGAGGGAAAGAGACAAACGGGAAAAGTCTGAAGAAAAAATTGACTGATATATATAGCTACATCGACAAGCCATCAATCGGATTATACCGTGATGATGGCCTAGCTACCCTAAGGAGAGTGCCGGGTTGGAGAGCAGACAAGATACGGAAGAACATCATCGGTATGTTCCAATCACTCGGCCTCAAGATAACAATCGACGTCAACAGAAAAGTAACCGACTTCCTAGACGTCACTCTAAACCTTGAAACAGGCACCTACAAGCCATACCGCAAGCCCGGGGACACGCCCCTCTACCTCAACCGTGAGTCTAACCATCCTCCAATAGTAATCAAAAACCTGCCGCAGTCCATCAACAAGCGCCTAACGAGCGTCTCTGCCAATCAAGAAGTCTTTGAAGAGGCTGCCCCCACGTACGCTGCAGCTCTCTCAAAAAGTGGCTTCAACTACGCACTCGTCTATAACGAGGAACCGACGAACACGGAAGGACAAGCCAGGAGGAAAAAGAATCGGAAGAGGACCATCATTTGGTTTAACCCACCGTACAGCCAATCCGTGAAGACTGATGTTGGCGCGACATTCCTGAGACTTGTCAAGCGCCATTTCCCAGAAGGATCTGCCCTCAGAAAAATATTTAACAAAAACACGCTCAAAGTCAGCTACAGCTGTTCGCCTAACTTAGCCTCCATAATCAAGGGCCACAACGCGAAAGTCCTCAGACAGCCGGAAGAAAAGAGATGTAACTGCCGTATCAAAGCAAACTGCCCACTCAACGGGGACTGCAACGCCAGCGAGATAGTGTACGAAGCTACAGTGGACTCCAATCTCAGCCGGAAGAAGTATATCGGCATCTCCGAAACCCCGTTCAAACTCCGGTTCAACAACCACACGTCATCGTTCCGGAATGCCCCACACAGAAACAGCACAGAATTGTCAAAGCATGCATGGGCATTGAAGGAGGCAGGTGAAGACGTCAACATCTCGTGGAGAATCAGGCAGAGATCCAGCGCCTACAAAAGAACCTCGAAGCGGTGCAACCTATGCCTATCGGAGAAGATCGCCATAATGAAGAGTGACAAGGCATCGCTCCTCAACACCAGATGCAGCCTGGTCACAAAATGTCGCCACAGCACCAAGTACCTCCTATCGGAGGTGACCTGAACTGTAGACTGCGCTTGCTATCTGTTTCACATATACAGAACTCCTGCTATCTAATGTGCATGCATCCTACTGCCACACTTCACTTTATGCACACCACCCGGCCTGCGCGATTGCTCACACCACCACACTTGCCACACTTATCTTCACCTGTGATTCCCACCTAGACTGGCTAGCGTGCTTCTTTTCTCCACCTGTGATTCCCACCTAGGGTGCTTCTTTTCGTCTTTTCTGGTATGTAAAGGGATACTGATGTGAGAGAAGAGTAAGTTGCCTGAAGAGTGCTTTTGCACGAAACTCAGAGTAGCAACACTGAGAAACTTGGAGATCCTTTGTGTCTGAGTGTATATATATATATATTAGGTTATAACGAAGTGCTAACTCTAACGAGTCAACGAGGAGAAATCTGTCGTTAAAATAGAAAACGTTATACAGAAATCGATACATATTATACTGTCCTATTGAGCATTGAGGATGAGTGAGAATCGTTACCTTTGGTACACGGAAACTAGTCAATTTTGGGAAATTGTAATATATGCACCTCGTTAGAATAATGGCTCTTACAGTATTAATTATGACTTCTTGCCCATAGAGGGGGGGGGGGGGGTTCCTACCGATGCGGACAACCCGGCAGTCTAACGCGAACCATGACTTCTATTTTTTGTAGAGTATACAGTAAATTGGGAACTCGTGGCCTGGCACGAGAGAAACGTGGATGCAGTGATTGGTATTTTCGGTCTTTGACCACTTTGTGGTGGGTCTGATCTACTCACCTCCCACCGCTGAGGAGCTGCAACTACGCCTTGATCCAAGAGGGAGGTGGCGTTCCTGCGGATGCGGAAAACTGGGCCTTTGGCCGAGTCTCACGCGCACCGTGAATTTCTTTTATTACTGAGTATAGAGGTTATGTCATCGGTTGAGATGCTTTGGCGAAGTCGCGGCACTTGCGGCGCTGCACTTGCACTAGCGACTCACGCTACATACTTAGCACACATTAGAACATCCGTTCACTCACCCCATAAAATCATTCGCATATTTTTTGTATTGTATTGTATTGAATTTATTTTACTTCGGTGGCTCAACAGTACAATGTATACTACTAGTACAAAGAGGCCCATAACCTCTACACTTGCAAGCACATACATTTAGGTGCAGGATTCGCGCAACACATGTACAACATGATTGTATGCCCGGAATAGCTGTCCACTTACCCGGAGATCTTGGAGTCCGGAGCGAAAAAGGACAGGCATGCAGCTGATTGAAGATCGAAAATACACCGGTTTAGGTGAGCCGATCACCATTCGGTAATTTGGAGTGAGATAAACTCGAATCAGCGAATCCAGCTCCAGTACGGTCTGTAAGGGGTTCGCTGCTGCTGGGAAGGACCAAAACACAATGCTAGCAAGTACCAGTGTCTGCTTGTTCGTAAGGACAGGTTTATCTCTTGCGCACTAGCTTGTGAAAAGAAGTGTATTTTATCTTCGACTTTTCACCACTACAGCACAGCACTACACCGCGTAGATCTAGCAGCGATGCAGGTCCGAGAACAGATCTCCTCGTGCCACATTATGTAACGGCATAGGACCACATTATGTAACGGCATAGGACCACATGCAGTAGTAGTACACTGTACTGAGGTAATTAGTAAAATTTAATACTGATACGAACGACTATTGAGTCATTATTGATTTGTTCATTGCGAGAATGACTGGCTGTCGACAATCAAGGCATGGCAGCGCATTAGTACAGTACAATCATGTAGCTTACGTAGTAGCAGCCATTACTCCTTCTTTTTTGTGCCTTGGTGTCTCACTCTTTCTGTATGATCTGATTACATACATACATGATGTACATGTAATCATACATGTAATCGTTACAGTCATAATCGATCATTTGTTCTGCTTTTGAAGTAACAGTTAGTTTACGTAGACTACAAAGCAGAACTACTACCAGTCTGTTAGCAGAAGCAACACCTATTTCACCATCACTCGGCATCAGACCACTGACCAGGCACGTCGTTCACCTTTCTCTAGACTTTATTACGTAACATGTACGTGGCCTACTCGATACATGACCATGACTGCATGAGGCATGATGACTGAATGCTGAATCGATTGGGGGCGGGAGTCGGTATTTCCCCTTTTTGCCTTTTTATCAAATTTTGGTTTCGAGGCGCCCGAAGTGGTTGAGTTGTTCCTGCCGGTAGGGCTTGTTGTGCGTAGTTGTAGGCATAATGCAGTGCCAGTAGTGTAGATCTTCAGATACACTGACAGTGTACTACCGTAGTAGTAGATCTACAGTACAGTCTACACGGCCTTGGCCTAGTGTACATTGCAACCAAAATCAATAACCAGCGAGTAGCGCTATAGCAGCGTCTGATGAGTGTTTTTGAACCCGAAACTCGGAATCAAGAGCAAGTTTTGGTCTCTTGTGTACTCTTGTACTATCATTGGAACTACAAGTATTAGTTGCACTATAATGTCCACTAACACCACTAAGTTCGTAACACCACCAGTTACTAAACAATCAGCTCATGCGATAACATTGCACGACACTGACCGACGGTACTGACGTTCTACAACGAACTGGCTAACACTAACAGCTCTAGCACATCTTGGATGCGCACTCCAACAGCCTTCCAACTATGGTACAATCAGTATTACAATCATGTAATACCATGAATACAGCGCGCGCAGCCACTCGAAAGTCGAAGACCAGCATACATGATGTTCCTGATGCAGTGCCAGTGATCATGGTGATGGAAGGACTAAAACTTTGAAAAAGGCAGAACCTCCTGCGTCCTGGTTCAGTTGTGGGTCCACACTACTTCACTACCGCAGTACCGGTAGTAGAAGTACATCATGCAGCTAGCGACAGTACTGACAGTACTCAGTAGTCTTTAGAACTACTTCTTGATTTTTACCCGTAGACCTACCGTAGACCCCCGGTCGGCGTGCATGCGTCCCCGGCTCCTGCACACCTGTGTGTAGCAGAGATCTGCCAGAAAAGAAAAGAAAAAGCTCAGTCATGGGGCCATGCCATGCCAGGCATGGGGAAGGTACTAGTACGTGGACATGGAAATCCGGTCGCACGTTTAGCGGCCCCAGGGCGCTGGCCTTCCAGCCATTACTTACTATTAGTATTACGCGCTGCGTGCGCTCAAGATGAACGCCGACGTTCTGTACGCGCTGAGGGCGCCGGCCCCGGTCAATCGACTGGATTTCCATGTCCGCGACAGTAGTATTATGTAGATCTACCGGTACATAACTAAAACGCGACACAACAGATCACAGACTGTGCAGGAGGCGTATCCTGTGGAGCCGACTTTGAATCTTGATCTGAGCGCAGTACAATAATAGTCGTTGTGCTTTGTTCAACTCAAGTCTTCCTGGATTTACTGTGGTTTGGGTCTGTTGGTTCGTGGGTGTCCGCTTGCCCAAGCAGACCATAACCCTGCTGGAAAAGCGGAATAGTCTAGATACTCCACAGGGCTGCGCTAGCTCGCTGTTGGACTGTCACGCAAACACATCACGGTAAGAACTATTCGGGGATCTCAGAGCAAATTAATGTTTTTTTCTTGTTTTCCTGAACGAACTTGGCGCAGGATTTCACTCCTCGATCTCAGTCTGCAAGCAATATCAATAGGATGTGTGTGAACTGGGGTCTGAGACTGAGAGGATGTCTCCACTAGTTCCGCAGGGGGCGGGCGGCCGGCATAGTAGGAGGTGGACAATGCAATTATGCACATCGTCATGTACGTCCTGTGACGGTGTAGTATCGCACTGGATTCCCATGTCCCGCTAGAAATCGAAGGGAGCCGGAGAGCAAGCATTCGCAAAAATTTCGGCACTGACCTGAGCTGCTAGTAAACGCTCGCTTGCCAGAAGCTCTTCCGGAGGCGGGCAAGTGTACCGTGCACATCAACGAAAGCTGAATGCGGGCTGGAAATGATGGGCATTGAAAAGAAATCTTGTAATCATGAGTGGGCTCAAGAGAGCCTACTAAATCGTGTACAGTCACAACAACGGAAAAAAACACTTGTAGCTGCTAACGAGAGAGCTTGGAAGCTCAGGGCTCTACGCTATGCTTTTTTGCCTAGCTCATCATGCATGTTATTAGAACTGATGGAACTTTCTCTTTGGCCCCGACTTCGTTGCGGTCTTATAGTGTTATACGTCGACCATGACGGCTACAATGCCCAACCATACCACAACGAACTGATCGACTACATCATTGTATTGCAAAACGTTTCCATCTGTTCGAATAACATGCATGATGGGCTAGCAACAAAGCATAGCGTAGGACCCTGAGCGAAAGAAACAAGCAGCTGCCCGATAGTACGGCGCAATCAAATATTTCTGAATTCAGGTTCTTGTTCAACCTGCGCAAAGCCCAGATTCGAGTGCTGATTGACCATGCATTCTTTCAGAAGTCTGCAGAGCGACGTGAGTCTCGTGGCTAAGGAAAGTTGTTCTAAGCGTTTTCTTATCCATCAAAATCCATCACGAAGTTTTTGTTAACGGAGGAAGTTTTTGTGGAACCTGGCTAGCGCCATACGTTACTGCACTATCGCCCTGCATGCATTCCCCCCGATGCACTTCGCATACATAAATGTACATGCCAGGCCTCTACAGTCACTCATTTCTTGGTGTTGACCGCTTTAATGCTATACATTATGCTACTATACATACTCATTCTCTTGATGGTACGGTACGGGATAGATACGGGATAGCGCCAGGCGGGAACGAGAGAGCTTGGAAGCTCAGGGCCCTACGCTATGCTTTTTTGCCTTGATGACCTAGACAAAAAAAAAGCATAGGGATGTTATAAATTCTTTAAAAAATTCCTTTTTTTTTCAAGACATAACCTGGGATTCGAACTCGCACTATCGCGCGCCCTGCATGCATCCCCCGATACACTTCGCACATATACTAATTCTTCCAAGTTGTTTCATATTGTGATCTTGCACTTGAAAGCCCTATTTGAAAATGCATTGTGGCCAGCCGTCTTTGATGGCACGGTACGGTAGGGGATAGGTACGGGACAGGTACGATCGAGGGTAATACGACACCGTCTCCCGTACCGTACCGTACCATCAAACACAGCTGGCCACATACAGCTGCCCACTTCGCACACATACTAATTCTTCCAAGTTGTTTCACATTGTGATCTTGCATTTGAAAGCCCTATTTGAATATGCATTGTGGCCAGCCGTCTTTGATGGCACGGTACGGTAGGGGATAGGTACGGGACAGGTACGATCGAGGGTAATACGACACCGTCTCCCGTACCGTGCCGTACCATCAAACACAGCTGGCCACATACAGCTGCCCGCAATATTCAAATAGGGCTTTCAAACGCAAGATAATAACGTAAAGCAACTTGGAAGAATGGGTATGAATGCGAAGTGTATGGGGGAATGCATGTAGGGCGATAGTGCGGGTTCGAATCCCAGGATATGCCTGAAAAAAAGGAGAATTGAAAAATGTATAACATCCTATGCTTTTTTGCCGTCAGATACGGATAGCGCCAGGCGTGACACAAACAAACACACAAACACCAAATTAGCCCCATCCCTCACACAAACAAGTCAACAAAGAGGCATCTTTGGATTGAGGAGTGCTGGTTTCGAAACAACTGGTTTGAAGCTCAAAGTAGAGCTGGTGTTAGCTCAGAGCAGAGCTGCTGTTAGCTCAAAGTAGAGCTGCGGTTAGCTCAAAGTAGAGCTGCGGTTAGCTCAAAGTAGAGCTGCGGTTAGCTCAAAGTAGAGCTGCTGTTAGCTCAAAGTAGAGCTGCGATTAGCTCAAAGTAGAGCTGCTGTTAGCTCAAAGTAGAGCTGCTGTTAGCTCAAAGTAGAGCTGCTGTTAGCTCAAAGTAGAGCTGCTGTTAGCTCAAGGTAGAGCTGCTGTTAGCTCAAAGTAGAGCTGCTGTTAGCTCAAAGTAGAGCTGCGGTTAGCTCAAAGTAGAGCTGCGGTTAGCTCAAAGTAGAGCTGCTGTTAGCTCAAAGTAGAGCTGCTGTTAGCTCAAAGTAGAGCTGCGGTTAGCTCAAAGTAGAGCTGCGGTTAGCTCAAAGTAGAGCTGCTGTTAGCTCAAAGTAGAGCTGCTGTTAGCTCAAAGTAGAGCTGCTGTTAGCTCAACGTAGAGCTGCAATGCTAAATGGATGTAATATAGCGCAAGGCAGAGCCGCAGCAAATAGCTAGATAACACCAGTTGTGAGAGTGGACCCGGTTAGTGGGTACGATAATATTATGATGGTGTGAATAAGTTGGATAGGGAGGGATGGTGGGAAAAGAAACACTGCTGAAGCACGATCCGTTGTCTGGAAGAGCACAACAGGGCAAGCAAGATTTGTTTTTCTTTTCCGCAAAAATGGGCTGGTGCCATTTGTGATTACGCAGCAAAACAAAGCGCATGACGTCAGTCTTGAATGCAGTACAAAGCAATGCAGTGCAGTGTGTGCGCTAGTTCGGATTGTTGCTAACAAGTACTAGCACAGCTAGTACACCATTAGCCCCATCCCTCACACAAACAAGTCAACAAAGAGGCATCTTTGGATTGAGGAGTGCTGGTTTCGAAACAACTGGTTTGAAGCTCAAAGTAGAGCTGGTGTTAGCTCAGAGCAGAGCTGCTGTTAGCTCAAAGTAGAGCTGCGGTTAGCTCAAAGTAGAGCTGCGGTTAGCTCAAAGTAGAGCTGCGGTTAGCTCAAAGTAGAGCTGCTGTTAGCTCAAAGTAGAGCTGCGATTAGCTCAAAGTAGAGCTGCTGTTAGCTCAAAGTAGAGCTGCTGTTAGCTCAAAGTAGAGCTGCTGTTAGCTCAAAGTAGAGCTGCTGTTAGCTCAAGGTAGAGCTGCTGTTAGCTCAAAGTAGAGCTGCTGTTAGCTCAAAGTAGAGCTGCGGTTAGCTCAAAGTAGAGCTGCGGTTAGCTCAAAGTAGAGCTGCTGTTAGCTCAAAGTAGAGCTGCTGTTAGCTCAAAGTAGAGCTGCGGTTAGCTCAAAGTAGAGCTGCGGTTAGCTCAAAGTAGAGCTGCTGTTAGCTCAAAGTAGAGCTGCTGTTAGCTCAAAGTAGAGCTGCTGTTAGCTCAACGTAGAGCTGCAATGCTAAATGGATGTAATATAGCGCAAGGCAGAGCCGCAGCAAATAGCTAGATAACACCAGTTGTGAGAGTGGACCCATGAAACCAGCACTCCGTTAGCTAAGCACTATTGACGCACAGCAAGGGTCAATTAATGTCAGCACAGGCAAGCATTGCGCAGCTAGAGTTCAGTAGCTCATTACTCACCCGAGTTGGGGATCATGGCATCCATGGCACGGCAGCAAGCCGGGACGATAGCTGGCGCTATGCGCTTGTTGTAGTCTGGATGTAGCGTAGACACGCATCGCTCTTTCCACTGACCTGCCACTCGGAAGAAGGAGTCGGGGGCACTAGCCATAGCAGCGGTGGTGGCTGCACCAATGTGGACCGAATGCCCGGAGTAGTTCGACTGGGATGGTACACCGGCCGCAGCGACAAGAGACCATACTGTTACTGTGAATGACTGCCTGGTCAGCTGCTGTCTGTTCGAGAGTACGAACAAGAGTTGCTCCGGTCCCTCGCGACGAGTGACAGATGGGTAGCTAACAATGGCACGGACCGGGCAGTACGGCGGTACAGACGGGCCAATGTCACTAGTAACGCCTTTACCGAATGGGTCCGTCTTGGATGAAAGCAGGAAGAGTTGCAGGCGTCCGTCACCAGGGGAGCTAGTACAGCCCCGTGTGATGCCATTAGTGAATTCAGCGCACCGACGAAATCCAAAGAAGCAGCATGGCGGCTTGGTAGAGCAGCTTGTCATGGCCATTCAGGATACTACTTTTCCGGCGTGCATCCGTCAGGTGTCGTAGGATTGGCATAGTTATAGGAAGGCGAGGGGTGAGTGCAGCCGTACCATGGCATCGCTGGATGCCCTTCAACACCCTCTTCAGAAGCCACGCATCTACTAAGGGGCCGGCAAACCCATTCTCAAGGTGGGCTTTATGCACCGCACTCGCATACACAGATACAGTTCAGGGCACGCTGATCATAGTTCACGCATGAATGTGTGTCCAGGAACGATGACTCGGGCAGCAAAAGTGAGCTTCCCCAGGAGGGACTCGAGTTGACGCTGGCCGATGCTGCGCTCGCTGATAGTAGCCATGAGTGGCGCACGGATCTCGGACAGCTTGTCCTCTGGTAGCCGAGCTTCGTGGCGCTCGCAGTCTAGGACAATACCAAGGAAGGTCAATGATGGTGATGGCCCTTCGAGCTGGGATGGAGCAAAGAGGAGTGCCGAGATACGTGAACGCCCGGAGGGGAGATGGTGAGTTGCTGGTTGGCTGCAGCCAAACCAGTGGAGATATCGAGAAAGTCATCGAGGTAGTGAAGCCGGTGATCTATAGCAAACTCGTGCTGCATGATCCAGTTGACTGCTGTGGCTACTGAGTCAAAGACGGCTGGGCTGGAGCGGAGGCCGAAAGGCAGAAAGCGCTCGTAGTAGTAGGAGCCTTCCCAGCGAAGTCCTGGCGGCGGACTGGGATCTGCCGAAATGCACTGCGTACATCGAGCTTGGACAAATACACAGGCTGTGGGCATGACATGATGATGTTGATCGCGTTGTCAATGCTCGCGTAGTGCAGAGAGAGCGGCTCGGCAGGAATGCTGTCGTTCGCGCCGGTGCCTTCCGGACTAGACAGATGGTGGATCATTCGCGGCTTGCCGTTCTTTTTGGGGATGGCACCAATACCAGAGCGGCGCATGAACTGAAATGGAGGTGACGGAAATGGGCCTGTGGTCTCGCTGCGGGCGCAGGAAGCAGCTAATTGCTCGAATATAAATGCCGAGTGAGTGAAAGCCAATGGTAGATTATTAGAGAAAACCGAAATGTCGTGTTGGCCGGCAGATCCAAGAGTAAAGCCACGGCGCAGGCCATGGAGAACATACGCAACACATGATTGATCTGAGTGGTTACGTAACAGGCGGGCAAAGTGGTCGGCTAGCAGTGTGGTGTCTGCAGAGTGTATAGGAAAGAAGCTACGTACCGAGTCAAGCGATTCAGTAGCCATTCTGCTAGGAGCGGCGGGGTGGCCGATTGGCTCCGCGCTGCTGCTGGTTGCACATGATGCATGGGTGGTCCTTGCCACACTGGCTGCAGGTGTGGGAGAAGCGGCACGACGACGAAGAACAGCGACCTCCATTGAAGTTGCGGCAGATTTCTTGGCCGTCGCTGGTATGGTTGCGACCACTGGAGGTAAATGCTGCTGGCTTCGGGACGAAAAGGACACAAACCGCCCCTGGATGGACCGTCTTACATTGAGCGCATTTTGGGTGTGCATGGCCTGTGACAGCTATCTGCCATAGGTTCACGTCGATGGTGTCCAACCTCTTCGTGCCTGGTTACTGGGCCACGAGCATCCGCAGCTGGCGGTCGTACTCTAGCCACGCGCTTGGGAAGAACTGGCAGTTAGCAGTCAGGATCAACTGCTGGTACGCAATCAGTTCAGCAGTGCGGTGTAGGGCCGCAGCCGTGATAACAGACATGTATGTGGTCCATGCCTCGAGCAGGGTAGCTACATGTGTAATTATCGTGAACCTTGCGACGCACCTGCTTCGCGTCATCCGACTCAACGATATTTAGCTGGCTATCGTTATTCGGGCTGTGCACCAGCCGGAATGTTGGGCCGGAAGTGTGCAAGAATTTCAGGCAACAAACTTGAAAAATCTACGAACTCCCCTCGCAAGATACGTTCTTGCACAGCCTTGGGCACAGCTGGTGCAGGTGGCTGATCGGGTGGATTACAGGAGCTTGGCCTGGCGTAGTGGCGGCAGCTGCCGCATTGCCTTGGCCTTGGGTGAGGAGCGGCGCAATGCTCTCCGATAATAATAAAATGGCGGCCGACAAAGCCGACTACACCTCGTCCCGTACGGGAGCGCAGAGATCCGTTGAGCCCGCGTCACCTGAGCTGGCGGAGGAGGCATTGGTGCACGTCGGGCTTCTGGGCTCGCGAGCCGTGTCCGCACTGTCATGTTGCTGGTTCTCCTGGCCGGAGCAGACCTCACTACCAAGGGCTAGTTGTGCCAGCAAACGGTGCTGTAAAATACTTTTACTAAGTTTCCTTTCGGATTCAAGCCGCGCTGAGAAGGCTCGCCGCGGAGGGCTTGGCAAGGCATTGCCTTGACAGTGTCGACAGTAAGGTCAGACATACTGAAGAAATACAGTGTCGAGGTGACACTCGGGCTGGCAGCAAAGCTACGAAAGGAAAAGAAACACTGCTGAAGCACGATCCGTTGTCTGGAAGAGCACAACAGGGCAAGCAAGATTTGTTTTTCTTTTCCGCAAAAATGGGCTGGTGCCATTTGTGATTACGCAGCAAAACAAAGCGCATGACGTCAGTCTTGAATGCAGTACAAAGCAATGCAGTGCAGTGTGTGCGCTAGTTCGGATTGTTGCTAACAAGTACTAGCACAGCTAGTACACCATTAAAGCTGTGTGGACCCTGGCTAGCGCCAGACGCTACTGAAGTAACGTCTTCTGCATAGCTACGGGAATAATTATTATTCTCTTTACTCGTCTACCAGAAGCAGTCAATGATAATTTCTAGAAGAAAAACGTTTGTGTAAAAACGAATCCATGTCTGTTGGTTGTGGATTGGTTGTGTTGGGCTTTCGATTATTGCCTTCATGTCTTGGCCTAGAATTCAAATTTGGCATTAGTTTCCAAAGGGATTTCTGGTGACACTTATCAGTGGAAATTCGCATCAATTTGAGGTACGCATCGTGCAACCCTACATATCCTTCTGAAGCAGTAGAGTGGGACATAGGATTCAGTGTTTGCTCTCGGATTTCAAACCAACCGAGTACATGCGTGCCCGGCACAAATCTTCCAACAGTGTCAGAGCCGGGTACGTTCAAGCGCCGCTAGCCTACTGCATGTGCAGCAGCGAGCCGTAAATATATTAGGACACCGTGATGTATTAGGACACCGTGATGTATTAGGACACCGTGATGTATTAGGACACCGTGATGTATTAGGACACCGCGATGTACAAAGTACATGTATATGTAGCATACATGTATGCATTCCCAACCGGGTCGCAAGTGACCTGGTGTTCTTTTGCCAAACGGGTCCAAGTACCCCCTCCAACCGGGTCGCAAGTGACCTGGTGTTCTTTTGCCAAACGGGTCCAAGTACCCCCCTCCAACTGGGTCGCAAGTGACCTGGTGTTCTTTTGCCAAACGGGTCCAAGTACCCCCCTCCAACTGGGTCGCAAGTGACCTGGTGTTCTTTTGCCAAACGGGTCCAAGTACCCCCCCCCCCTCCAACCGGGTCGCAAATGACCCGGTGTTCTTTTGCCAAATGGGTCCAAGGATCCCCCCCCCAACCGGGTCGCTGACCCTGCTGACCCAGCTCTAGAGCAGACACTGGACTATTCTTACCTTGCATAGTATCACATTATTGTAGTTGAATGCGCACAATGTAGCAATTGATTTGTCGACCGCATGCTTTCCCCTTGACTTCCATGGTATGGCAGTGATGGACGGCCACAGCTGATGACGAAATACGTCTTACAAAGGTATCTTTCCGTACTATGGATTCAAAGAGTGAAATTATGCATTGATGGCTTTCTGTTCTCATGCTCGGTTTCTGTTTGCTGCAATTTAGGGAAGACTGTCGGTGCTGTGAAGGTCATTGAAGATGTCGTGGGAGAGTCCAGTTTTCATCAGACTTCTCCCTGAAATGATCCGTACTTTCACAGCGGAAACATTACGAACTGAGTGCGAGAGTAGACAACTGATTACAAACAACCAAAAGATTAAGTTTGAAGCTTACACAGGTTCGGCTAAGCAAAACGAGGCCTTGTTGGATGCGGTACGAACAGGAGACGATGAGTCGTTCCATGACTTCCTGGAGTGTATTCGCAACGCGCATGTCATGGCCAGTGTAAGGAAGATCCTGGAGAAGCTGGACCCCATCGACAAGTACAGAAAACCAGCAGGTGAGATCACTCAGTGACTTGTGGAACGCCTTACTCCTTTTGTGCGTTCAACCATGTTGTTAAGATGTGGAGTGACGCGCAGTACTAGCTGATCGAAAGTTGGTGTCTGCTGGAAAACGTCTAGAGGCAAGCTTAGCAGCTGCTTTTACTGGTGTAACCTGGAACACTCACTTTCAATCACATTATCATCTACATGTGCATGAATTTCATTGTTCAATGTATAGCCGTCTTATGCAGCCAATCTGGCAAGGTACGATAGGGCCTGGTTTAAATTAAATATGGCTTTGGAAAATTTATTTTTCATTGCTATCAGCTTCGGCCTCATTTTCTCTGTGCTGCGCTGATGATTTCACGAAGGACGGAACAGTTCTGTCCGCAGATTGAGTATGCAGCCAATATAAATATCTGAAATGATGATGAGTCAATAACACGAGGGGATTTTTGAATGCATCACGGACCTAAATTGCTTTGGTAAGGGATATCAGCGAATACACTGTGCAGATCACGTACACCATAGCCAGCAATCGCATGTCATCACGTACATTCAAAATCAACATAATTTTGCGAATCGACATTTTTTTCAGGATCACTTTTCAACGAGGACGAAGCAAAGTCGGCCGAACGAAGCCTAGAGGAAGAAAATCACCCTCTCCACTTCACCATCACGATACTGACATAGATACGAGATGAAACAACTAAAAAATCCACAAGAAAACTGTACGGCCATCATCGCGCTGACTTTGGTCTGACTTTGGTCTGAGAATTTCTATCACGATCAAAAATGTACGAGGAGCACTCAAAAATAAGCAACAGACGTACCTTTATCGCTCTCTACTCCTTTTTCAAGGCACAAAAGTCGACTCTCCACTTTCAAACCAGGAACTAGACATACCAGTGGTCCTTTTCAGCTGCTCCACGAGCGCAGGAAATGTTCACCAAGGGGCGCAGAGCAGCATCCATTCCAGAAAAAGAGCTAAAATACGAGTGAGACTGCATGACTGAGTACATGAGTACAGGTATGAGTACATGCAGAAAATAGTCAATTTCAGCGTTTCTGCTCCAAACAGCAACTAGCTTCGACTAGAAACAAAGATTACACCAAAGGATCAAACAACAACCATTTTCTGCAGGTTTTTTTGCAGATGGCTTCCTTGTGCTTGGCCCAGCACGCCAAAAATCACACCTCGGTGGAGTACAAAAATTACAACTCTCAGATGTCCTCGATTGCTGGCCATGATATAGATAAAGCCCCCCCCCCCCCCCCCAAATGTCCACACAAGCACTCCATCGCATTCGGAAAACAACCAAGAATTGGACGATCTGCAGTCACTTTCTTCAATGAATAGCTGCTGTTACCTGTAATGGGGGCCTGGGACCGATGGTGGCTGGCTCAGCTCTGCACGATATACATGCACATTGATATTTGCAGTACAAGCATGGTACTGCATATACCTACGCATGCATCAATGAACGTTAAACACCTTGAAGTAGCGAATCGAATTCTCTTCAACATCCATTTGGAGTGAACCTAGTCGAATGTTGTAAAATCCATTTCATCCCTAGGCACTACTACTTGTTCTTGCGTCGAGGACCTAAGTCTATTGCCCAAGTAGTTTCTGGTCATGGCTGTCTAGACTAGGGAGTAGGGGCCCAAGTCTTGGAACCTGCTGGGCATGGCTAGAGCAGAATCAACAAGTTTCCGACGTAACCAAAGGTCACCACTGACATCAGGTGGCCTGTTCACACATCAAATACGAGTACGGTTCTTTGGTGCAAACATAGCTCCATCCAGCTACGAACGTCTTCTTCCTCTGTCATGTCTTTGCTTGAGAACGTTTACCAGTCATAGGCACCAAAGAATATTAGCTCCTGATGTCTCCTTTCCTGAACGGATCGAGCTCAAACAAACCCACAAACAGCCTTCTTGTCGAGATTTGAATTTCACTCCTGGCCGGCCTGCTCTGAGCCTGACCCGTGACCTGATTTCTGCAATCGCCGTTTTTCTAGTCGGCCGTGCGCCTCATAGATTTTTGTACGACGTAAAATATGCGCGAACACGCTGCGCACTGCGTTCGCTGTTATCCCTACTTTTTTGACCAATAGACCAACGCTGGAAATGCACTTGTTAACATTATCATGCTCTGGCCTCTTTTTCTGTATTTGCAGAATCTGCCACTCCCGTGTCCAAAACAACAGATCCTGGCAAACAAGATCAGGCAACAGGTAAGAATTTAGATTTGATAGAACCCTAATATAATGCGATAACGACACTTGAAGATGGCATTCCGGAGTCAGAATCATGAGACCACCAATGTCCATATGCAGCGAGTAAAAATGGAAACGTCTACCAAGTGGGTCCCGCGCTACCACTTTTTGGTGCTGTGATATCAATCTTGGGAAAGTCACAGTAAAAGTCATGAAGCTTTGGGACGAGCACAGCCACCTTGTGCCAACGCATTTTTGTGCCGTACTGTAAATCTACTTATTTTCGGCCCATTTAAATTTAGGCCTCCCAGGGCTAAAACCCATTTTAGCCGCATCCAATTTTCGACCTGTACTTCTGCTACCTGTATACACTGTCACACTGAACATTGGAAACACAAAATTGTGTGGTGTAGACCAGGCGGAATAGTGGTGGTCAATTCTTCAGCCTTGCAAGCTGTTGAATGGTGCAATCCCAGCACAAGCTGCTATGGCTTCTGCCGTAGCATCGCTATCATCGCCTCCGGCGATGGGCGTCCAATGGTCCAATGGTGTGTGTGTGTGTGCTCGCATGTGTGTGTGTGTGTGCATTAGTATATATTTTGGAATGGAGGTAGTATGTGTTTTGGAATGGAGGTAGTATCAAGAGTACATAACCCCCCAGAGTGTGAAACGCCTGATCCAGCTCTGTATACAGCTATAGGGTCTTGTTAGAGCGGAATCGGATCTTTGCGTCATAATACCGTACACATCTGAGGGGAACCCGGGGAGTCGCGGGGACTCTTGGATCAAAAACAATGGTGCCCTGCCTCGAGACCGGCCTTGAGCTGGTGTGGAGTGTACGCATGACATCAGAAGATCCGATTCCGCTCGACCAAGACCCTATGCAGAGCTGGATCGGCGTTGCACACTCTGGGGGGTTATGTACTCTTGGTAGTATGTATCTCTGTGTCTGTGTGTGCTTGTACGTGCACGCATGTGTGCGTGTGTTAGTATGTGTTTGTATGTGTTTGTATGCGCGTGTATGTGTGTGTGTGTGTGTGTGTGTGTGTGTGTGTGTGTGCGTGTGCGTGCATGTGCATGTGTGTGTGCATATGTCTGCCTGTGGTGTGTGTGTGCACGCCCGCGTGCGTGTGTGTGTGTGTACAATCCGTTGTGTTTGTGTGTTTGTGTGTTTGTGGGTAGCAGATCACAACTCACTACCCCTACAGTACTACTGACAAGGCTTCCCATTAAACCTTCTCTCCTCTACTTGTCTTCTGTCACCTTTGTGCTAGGTTCATTCCCCGCTGGTGCTGGTGTTGCTGCTGGTGCTGCTGCAGCAGCTTCAGACAACTGGCCACAAGGGTAAGTAGCTGGCTGTGTTTTGATCGGTTTGGATGGCAACATTGCATACCTGCCAGCTATCCCGATTTGGCCCCGTGACCGTCCCGATATCGAGGGTGGTAATAGGCACCAAAAAGTGTATTCGACGCATGCATTATGTCATTATCCCCCATCTCAGGTTTCCAAGGGCTGGCAGGTATGGCATTGCCTACACACATATGTCTCAATTCATCTACAGACTTGACCTCTATTTCTCGCTCCACTGTCATACTGACGTACAAAGAGACATAGGTAACAATGGCACCAACACACACATTGAAGGGTACGATACTGTCGGTTGCCGTAGAACGGAGTGCCGTAGAACGGAGTGCCGTAGAAAGAACAATGCTAGAATACCACCAAGCACAGTAGACCAACGTATAAACAGGGGCGTGGGAAGGTATTTCAGTGTGGTACGGTCAGCCATCTGAAGTACAATTTACTCGTGAGGGAGTGGTGGCTGAGCCAAAACTCTTGGAATTTTGGGTCCCAGATCAGTGCATTTTGTTGATTAACGGGGTATCTGGGGCAAAAAGTGGAACGGTCGATACCGTAGTGACCGTACCGTGTGCGACGCCCCTGATAAACAATGACTCAAGTGTGCCTAGACTTTAGCAAGTAAACGTAAATTTAATTACCCGGTCCGTTCCTAAAGGGAACTCAGGACCAGGTAGGCAGGCAGCCCAGGATCAGGCAGGCAGGCAGCCCAGGATCAGACAGGCAGGCAGCCCAGGATCAGGTAGGCAGGCAGCCCAGGATCAGGTAGGCAGGCAGCCCAGGATCAGGCAGGCAGGCAGCCCAGGATCAGACAGGCAGGCAGCCCAGGATCAGGTAGGCAGGCAGCCCAGGATCAGGAAGGCAGGCAGCCCAGGATCAGGCAGGCAGGCAGCCCAGGATCAGGCAGGCAGGCAGCCCAGGATCAGGCAGGCTGGCAGCCCAGGATCAGACAGGCAGGCAGCCCAGGATCAGGCAGGCAGGCAGCCCAGGATCAGGCAGGCAGGCAGCCCAGGATAAGGCAGGGAGGCAGCCCAGGATCAGGCAGGCAGGCAGCCCAGGATCAGACAGGCAGGCAGCCCAGGATCAGGCACGCAGGCAGCCCAGGATCAGGCAGGCAGGCAGCCCAGGATCAGACAGGCAGGCAGCCCAGGATCAGACAGGCAGGCAGCCCAGGATCAGACAGGCAGGCAGCCCAGGATCAGGCAGGCAGGCAGCCCAGGATCAGACAGGCAGGCAGCCCAGGATCAGGCAGGCAGGCAGCCCAGGATCAGGCAGGCAGGCAGCCCAGGATCAGGCAGGCAGGCAGCCCAGGATCAGACAGGCAGGCAGCCCAGGATCAGGCAGGCAGGCAGCCCAGGATCAGGCAGGCAGGCAGCCCAGGATCAGGCAGGCAGGCAGCCCAGGATCAGACAGGCAGGCAGCCCAGGATCAGGCAGGCAGGCAGCCCAGGATCAGACAGGAACAGTGGGTTAGTTAATGAACATGATTGAGGTAGACTGTTGTACAGTCAGACCTCGCTTAACGGCACGCATCCATTTTCCACAAAACAATCTCAGGATACTAGTAGGCGAGGGCGAGGGCGAGGGCGAGTGAACCGGATAATTGAACACCGGTTACTGTATAGCAGGACACTTTCGGACGAAATTTATTTTCGTACGACTTCGTACACGGCCTCTTTTGCACTAAAATTGATTTCGTACTAAAATTTGTTCCTGTGAAGCTACGTACACTGTGCACTATCCATGCGTACCGCATGCCAACACGTGCATTTAGCATCCAGCACTGTACGAAAATAAAATCCGTGCGAAAGGTCGAAATTCCGCTTTTTCGGAAAATATTTCCGTCCGCAAATTTCCTGCTATACAGTATGTTGGATGCACGACGCATGCTGTAAATCTGTAACCTGTTATTTTCTTCCGGATGGCGAGGGATCGGGATGAAAGATAACCGGATAAGCAAGGTCTGACTGAACATGAAAATAAGAATGGTGTACAGTACTGTAGGACGCCAAAGAACTGGCCGGTCAGGGTTCTAACCTAGCACGGTAGTATTTTTTACAGAACGCAGCAGTCACGTTCTTATTTGATGGTACAGTCTTACATGTATATTTATCCAGAGTTATACGTCTGAGCGTACGTTAAACTCATGTTCATTGCGGTTTCCGTTCTTATGTGAAGTCTAATGTTTTTCAGAATCATTTTTCAGGTCACTGTCATCAGTGGAATATCATACTGACTTCGTTGATGCATGGTGATTACCCCAGAGTTAGTTCTCTTTTCTGGCTGTCTTCTGATCCGCCATTATTAACATGAAAGTACATGTCGCTTTCATATGTTCTGTCTGTCTTTCAGACAGAAACTCCTGTCCGAAGTGCACGACTGGGAGGAATTCAGCAGGAGCTTGGAAGGGTGTGTTAGCCGCGTGAACCGTGGTAAGCATTTTGCTGCCTATCTGTGTAGAATCGAATATGAAACACCTACCGTATTGTCCAGAATATAAGCCACGCCCTGATATTTTGTCACCAAGCACAATCATGAAGAAAGTGTCTGCTTCGAACGTCGAAGCTCGCGCTTCCTGCCGACTGACTTGTCGTTTGGGCCCGTCAAACCTTCCACTCGGCAAACCTGCGAAAAGCGCCACTCCCTGCTCAATTCACAGTGTTGAGGGAAATTAACCCCCGTTCATTGAGCTTGAATAAGCTAATGAACGAGAGAGAGAGAGAGAGAGAGAGAGAGAGAGAGAGAGAGAGAGAGAGAGAGAGAGAGAGAGAGAGAAGAGAGAGAGAGAGAGAGAGAGAGAGACGGAGAGAGAGAGAGACGGAGAGACAGAGAGACAGAGAGACAGAGAGAGACAGAGAGAGAGAGAGCAAGAGGAAGAGCAAGAGAGAGAGAGAGAGAGAGAGAGAGAGAGTGAACTTCGAATTACACTTTGCTAACTTCGAATTATCAGCACAAATCCCACACATTTTCTATGTAAATGGAATCCGTGGAACTTCGAATTAATCGGACATGTCCGGTTCGAGGTTCGAATTATCAGAAAAATTTATGTGGGAATCGTATTGACAGAAATCGGTCCTGGAAAAACTTCTAATTAAGCGGTGTGTTCGAATTAAGCCATATTCAAATTATCAGGATTCCACCTGTATATGCATACATGTACATCATACATACAGCGGTGGTTCACATCTACCGTATCACCATAGTCATACCTGGAGACGGCCATGTTGGCTCCAACAGCAGTACATACAGCGTCATACGACCAAAGAAGAGTATCATGTAGTTCAGTGCGGTGTGGAATGGAGGGCATGTCTGCCAGCCATCCCGATTTGGCCGGCACTGTCCCGATATCGCAGGGTGGTGCTAGGCACCCAAAAGTGCATTCGTCGCATGCCTGGACTAGACAATCATACCTGTTCATACTTACGTACAGGTATGGCGAATTGTCCCAATCTCCGGTTTTCAAAGGTTGGCAGGTATGGCGAGTGATATGCTCAGATTTCCTGTGCTCTGTAGAAAGTATATATACCGTAAAGTCGCGGATAAAATCCGGGCTTATAAGCATATAAGCCGCTTTCTGCATTTTTAATGCAAACCAGGCTTGTGACCAAGCCATGCTTATATGCACCACTGATATTTTTGCCAGGCTTGTATGCACATGCCTCTACGCGTGACACGCGTAGATCTACCACTGACTACCGGTATGGCGGCAGTTTTACTATGCATCGTACATAGCACATGCACTCTTGGCCTACCCGATCCGCGCTTGCATAGAAGCCAGGCTTCTACTATGTACGTGCGACAGGCTTATATGCATTTGATTTATTTGATTTTCAGGCTTCTATCCGCGATGTACTTGTATGCAAACCCGGCTTTTATCCGCGACTTTACGGTATCTCTCTCTGGGGCCTAGCATGGGGAGCGTGAATAGGCTACCGACATGTCTCTGAGAAATGCTGCATTTCTTTCTTTTTCTTCCTTGAACCCGTGTGTGTCCAGAGGGCTTTGCCAAAGCCGTTGCGGTACTGATTGATCCGGACAACGCCAACGGTTTCAAAGATACCATCCAGGACTTTATTGCACGCAATGGCCATGGCAGTACAGACTTACAGAACAATCTGTATGGTGTTATAAGATGGGCGGTGGACAAAAGGACAATACACGAAGTCACACTGGCCGAGTTGGAGAAGATAGCGCTCCGCCTCAATCCCGATAAGAAGAAATCGATACACAAGACATTCCGGTGAGTTTTACATGAATGATTGATCTCCTTGTCATCCAGTATTTCACTGGGTTGGGCTGGGTCGATGGCGAGGAGAAGGGATGTGTATGTGTGTGTGTGTGTGTGTGTATGGCGGGAGGGGGGGGGGGGGGGGGGGGGGGTGATGGTCTAATAATTATAATTATATGAGAAAGTGATGGACGACCTGCGCTGGGATCCTGACTGCTCTCTAGCTTGGTGTCTGAGCATTCTTTCCCAGTAGCAAAGTCCAGGGTTTGCAAGCTCGGACACTGAGCCAGAGTCCAGGCTTTACAAGCTCGGGCGCTGAGCCAGAGTCTATGGTTTGCAAGCTCGGGCACTGAGCCAGTAATGAAATGTAAAAATAGAAGAAAACACGGAACGATGCCCTGTGATCACACTTTCTGACTGAGTATTATCTTGTGACAGTCGTGGATAGTTACACTAGTATTTGGTGCAGAGCATGTGAAAACGGCGCAGGTAGGCAGGCATAGTGGGATGGTCTAAGACCATGATTGAGAAACAGAGGGTACCAGGTTCAAGTCCTGCTTGGATGCGGAAGGAATTTTTCCAGCCGTGCTTCGACCCACAGTTAATTGGGAACTCGTGGCCTGGCACGAGGGTAACATGGATGCAGCTTATGGGATTTCGGTATTTGACCACTTGGTGGTGGGTCTGGTCTACTCACCTCCCACCGTTTAGGCGCTGCATCTGCTAGGAAGGGCCCCAATATGCTTGCGTATATTTTCGCATATTTTGGTCTTTTTGACACAAGGTCGCATAAAGTAGCTAATATTGTACCAAATGTAGCATATTTTGCTACGAGGAGCGAAGAATTGACTCAAGTGTGCCTAGACTTTAGCAAGTAAACATAAATTTAATTTACCGGGTCCACTCCTAAAGGGAACTCAGGACCAGGCAGGCAGGCAGCCCAGGATCAGGCAGGCAGGCAGCCCAGGATCAGGCAGGCAGGCAGCCCCAGGATCAGGCAGGCAGGCAGCCCAGGATCAGGCAGGCAGGCAGCCCAGGATCAGGCAGGCAGGCAGCCCCAGGACCAGGCAGGCAGGCAGCCCAGGATCAGGCAGGCAGGCAGCCCAGGATCAGGCATGCAGGCAGCCCAGGATCAGGCAGGCAGGCAGCCCAGGATCAGGCAGGCTGGCCATCCAGGATCAGGCAGGCAGGCAGCCCAGGACAAGGCAGGCAGGCAGCCCAGGATCAGGCAGGCAGGCCACCTAGGATCAGGCAGGCAGGCAGCCCAGGACCAGGCAGGCAGGCAGCCCAGGATCAGGCAGGCAGGCAGCCCAGGATCAGGCAGGCAGGCAGCCCAGGATCAGGCAGGCAGGCAGCCCTGGATCAGGCAGGCAGGCAGCCCAGGATCAGGCAGGCAGGCAGCCCAGGATCAGGCAGGCAGGCCACCCAGGATCAGGCAGGCAGGCAGCCCAGGACCAGGCAGGCAGGCAGCCCAGGATCAGGCAGGCAGGCAGCCCAGGATCAGGCAGGCAGGCAGCCCAGGATCAGGCAGCCCAGGATCAGGCAGGCAGGCAGCCCAGGATCAGGCAGCCCAGGATCAGGCAGGCAGCCCAGGATCAGGCAGGCAGGCAGCCCAGGATCAGGCAGGAACAGTGGGTTAGTTAACGAACATGATTGAGGTAGACTGTTGTACAGTCAGACCTCGCTTAATGGCACACATCCATTTTCCACAAAACAATCTCTTGATACTAGTAGGCGAGGGCGAGGGCGAGGGAACCGGATAATCAAACACCAGTTACTGTTTAGGAGAAAACTTTCGGACGGAATTTATTTTCGTACGATTTCATACACAGCCTCTTTTGCACTAAAATTAATTCCGTACTAAAGGTTGTTCCTGTGAAGTTACGTACACTGTGCACCATCCATGCGTGCCGCATGCCAACACGTGCATTTACATTGTAGCATCCAGCACTGTACGAAAATAAAATCCGTGCGAAAGGTCGAAATTCGGCTTTTTCGGAAAATATTTCCGTCCGCAAATTTCCTGCTATACAGTATGTTGGATGCACGACGCATGCTGTAAATCTGTAACCTGTTATTTTCTTCCGGATGGCGAGGGATCGGGATGAAAGATAACCGGATAAGCAAGGTCTGACTGAACATGAAAATAAGAATGGTGTACAGTACTGTAGGACGCCAAAGAACTGGCCGGTCAGGGTTCTAGCCTAGCACGGTATTATTTTTTACAGAACGCAGCAGTCACGTTCTTATTTGCTGTCTTCTGACCCGCCATGATTAACATGAAAGTACATGTTGCTTTCATATGTTCTGTCCGTCTTTCAGCAGGAACTCTGGTTTGGTGTGAACGACTTCTAACCATGGGCCAACCTCGTTACCTCCATGCAGACCGGCATTAACTCCACCATAGCATGGATGGAAGCTTGAAAGCTGAGGCCCAACATCGCGAAGACCGAAGCAATGTTCATCAGGCCCTTGCGCTGCTTCTAAAAATCCTGTTTCGCAAAAATCTAACATTCTCCTCCCAACGTCTCTACAGTTTAGCTTCAGTATCTCCCCTCTTAGAGCGACACCAGCAACATCTTTGCATCCTTGTACACATGATCTTATTAGACCTGGCTCCAAAACACTTTGCTAAGTATAACTGGTTTGTGCCCACCAGATCAACACGTCATTCCTTCTCATTACCCCGTGCCAATACCTCCCTGTTTCTGAAATCTCCTATCTTCTCTGCGTACACTCTCTGGTCTTCCCTGCCAACTAGCCTTAAACTTAAAGCATGCACAGACATTAAGGAGTTCAAGCTTCAGCTTCTTCGTCCTAAATAATCTCACCATTTTCGTCAGCCCTCCCCTTGCAGTACTCTCTTTGTTTCTCTGCTTATTATTCAGTTCGCCGTGGGTGGCTACCACCCGACTTCTCATATATGTTGGACTCAGTAGAGCGTCCAGCCCCTATATGATGTCCAACCCCTATATAGAGTCCATCGGTCCATAATCCACTGTACAGAGTCCAAACTTGGAATCAACTGTGAGCTCAAAGTTTAGATGGACATCACTCTCTGTATAGAGTCCAGCCAATTGGCTTCACCCCTATATAGAGTCCATTGGTCCAAAATCAACTGTACAGAGTCCAAACTATGAAATCAACTATAAAGAGTCTTTATGTGGACAACACTCCCTGTATAAAGTCCAGCCAATTAGGCATCCCCTATCCAGAGTTCGAAATTAGACATAGGATCTGCTGTAAGCAGTGAATATTAAAGGGGAAGTTAAAGGGGAAGTATACCCTAAAATCAAATTTTCACCAGTTGTAGTCTTCTGGGTGCTGAGTCGAATGGTCTTGGTCCGAGGAAGCTGCGACGCTCCCTTCCTACTTGAATCCCAATCGAACTCGCGCACTTCCACCGAAACTGGGTGACTGCGCCCTACTAGATGGGGATTTGTATGCAAAATGTCACTAAAAGCGCCATTTCGTTCTTATAAAAGCACGGATGACCGCGATTGGCCCATATGTTGTAGTCTTTTGGACGCTGAGTCGACTGGTTTTGGTCCGAAAAGGCTGCGATGCAGCGTTCCTCCTTTATTCCCAATCGAACATGGTTGAACAAGCGGTCACGTGCTCCTGCGTACACCAGTCAGCTGGTCACCGTGCCTGCAGGGTACAACTTACTAGCCTGTTTGACCTTTTTTGGGTGCAGTCCTGTCACTCGAGTTGAACTCGAGTTGAACCTTGGTGTGAAAGTTGTCACCTGCTGGCGCGGTGACCAGGTGATTTGGGCACCCAGGAGCACGTGACCGCTTGTTCAACCATGTTCGATTGGGAATAAAGGAGGAACGCTGCATCGCAGCCTTTTCGGACCAAAACCAGTCGACTCAGCGTCCAAAAGACTACAACATATGGGCCAATCGCGGTCATCCGTGCTTTTATAAGAACGAAATGGCGCTTTTAGTGACATTTTGCATACAAATCCCCATCTAGTAGGGCGCAGTCACCCAGTTTCGGTGGAAGTGCGCGAGTTCGATTGGGATTCAAGTAGGAAGGGAGCGTCGCAGCTTCCTCGGACCAAGACCATTCGACTCAGCACCCAGAAGACTACAACTGGTGAAAATTTGATTTTAGGGTATACTTCCCCTTTAAGGCGCAGGCAGGCACAGTGGGTTGGTCTAAGACCATGATTAATGAACGAGTGGTACCAGGTTCAAGTCCTGCTTGGAAGCGGAAGGATTTTTCCAACCGTGCTGCGACCCACAGTTAATTGGGAACTCGTGGCCTGGCATGAGTAAATCATGGATGTGGCAAATGGGATTTAGGCCTTTGGCCTATGGTTGGTGGATCTGATCTATCCTCCCCCACCGTTTAGGAGCCGCATCTGACGCCTGATCATGGGGTGGTGGCGTCCCACGGAAGCGGAAAGGTGGTTCTTGACCAGGGAGTTGTACGACTCCTTGTTCTTGACCTGCCCGGTACGCGAACCCGTCGAATTTATTTATTTTTAAGGCAAAAATTAAAATTTCACCAGTTGTAGTCTTCGGGGTGCTGAGTCGAATGGTCGCGGTCCGAGGAAGCTGAGACGCTCCCTTCCTACTTGAATCCCAATCGAACTCGCGCACTTCCACCGAAACTAGGTGACTGCGCCCTACTAGATGGGGATTTGTATGCAAAATGTCACTAAAAGCGCCATTTCGTTCTTATAAAAGCACGGATGACCGCGATTGGCCCATATGTTGTAGTCTTTTGGACGCTGAGTCGATTGGTTTTGGTCCGAAAAGGCTGCGATGCAGCGTTCCTCCTTTATTCCCAATCGAACATGGTTGAACAAGCGGTCACGTGCTCCTGCGTACACCAGTCAGCTGGTCACCGTGCCTGCAGGGTACAACTTACTAGCCTGTTTGACCTTTTTTGGGTGCAGTCCTGATCCTGTCACTCGAGTTGAACCTTGGTGTGAAAGTTGTCGCCTGCTGGCGTGGTGACCAGGTGATTTGGGCACCCAGGAGCACGTGACCGCTTGTTCAAGCATGTTCGATTGGGAATAAAGGAGGAACGCTGCATCGCAGCCTTTTCGGACCAAAACCAGTCGACTCAGCGTCCAAAAGAGTACTGAGCCAATCGCGGTCATCCGTGCTTTTATAAAAACGAAATGGCGCTTTTAGTGAGATTTTGCATACAAATCCCCATCTAGTAGGGCGCAGTCACCCAGTTTCGGTGGAAGTGCGCGAGTTCGATTGGGATTCAAGTAGGAAGGGAGCGTCTCAGCTTCCTCGGACCACGACCATTCGACTCAGCACCCCAAAGACTACAACTGGTGAAATTTTAATTTTTGCCTTAACTTCCCCTTTAAGGCAAAACATAAAAATTCACCAGTTGCAGTCTTCGGGGTGCTGAGTCGAATGGTCTTGGTCCGAGAAAGCTGAGACGCTCCCTTCCTACTTGAATCCCAATCGAACTCGCGCACTTCCACCGAAACTGGGTGACTGCGCCCTACTACAGTGCATTTCAAAACTATAGACGCGTAGGGTTTTTGAAATATTTCAAATTTGGCTGGAACTTTTTGAGAATAGTTTTCGGAATATTGCTCAGGACCGCTCCACAATTACTCTCATATAGTTTCTAAACGATTGGATAACAGACGCCCAATTTGGAAAAATTTATGCACAAAGTGATCACAGATTTTATGTGGTATAGATGCTGGCATAACGGTTTTTGCCTACAGTGTAGGTACGCGTCTATAGTTTTGAAATGGACTGTAGACGGGGATTTGTATGCAAAATGTCACTAAAAGCGCCGTTTCGTTCTTATAAAAGCACGGATGACCGCGATTGGCCCATATGTTGTAGTCTTTTGGACGCTGAGTCGACTGGTTTTGGTCCGAAAAGGCTGCGATGCAGCGTTCCTCCTTTATTCCCAATCGAACATGGTTGAACAAGTGGTCACGTGCTCCTGGGTGCCCAAATCACCTGGTCACCACGCCAGCAGGCGACAACTTTCACACCAAGGTTCAACTCGAGTTCAACTCGAGTGACCTGACTGCACCCAAAAAAGGTCAAACAGGCTAGTAAGCAGGGAGTAGTACATATTGTACTACTCCCTGCTAGTAAGTAAGTACCCGTACCCTGCAGGCACGGTGACCAGCTGACTGGTGTACGCAGGAGCACGTGACCGCTTGTTCAACCATGTTCGATTGGGAAAAAAGGAGGAACGCTGCATCGCAGCCTTTTCGGACCAAAACCAATCGACTCAGCGTCCAAAAGACTACAACATATGGGCCAATCGCGGTCATCCGTGCTTTTATAAGAACGAAACGGCGCTTTTAGTGACATTTTGCATACAAATCCCCATCTAGTAGGGCGCAGTCACCCAGTTTCGGTGGAAGTGCGCGAGTTCGATTGGGATTCAAGTAGGAAGGGAGCGTCTCAGCTTTCTCGGACCAAGACCATTCGACTCAGTACCCCGAAGACTACAACTGGTGAAATTTTAAGTTTTGCCTTAACTTCCCCTTTAACCAGAAAACGGCCTCTCCCTTTAACCCTTTACATCATTCACTTCTCAAGATAAAAAAATAAGTATTGGGGCGCCACTGCAGGCACTTCATTACATGAAAAACCCTACAAACAGCATCCTCAAATCAAGTGGTCTCTTCGCAGACGCTGCAAATTACAATATCTCAATCATGCAGTGTTGCCAAAGTATTGTGCACGCACACACACACATGCACACACCCACACAACGCCAAGAATATACCTAGAAAAAAGACCAAGAATCGAAAGAGAATAATGGAGAGCCAAGGATTAATTATTTTTTTTCAAATTATTGTGCGCGCGCGCACACACACACAAACTTATACAACGCCAAGAAAACACCAAGAAAAGAGTAGAGACACAATACACACGCAACTCCAACAGCCATGCAAACGTCCACCTATTTACACGTAAAGTCAAGAGGGATAACAAATAATTATACGAAACGAATGCCTACGTGGGCGGATGCACGCACATTTACATACATGTGGTAGTGTAAGAGAGTAACATAGTGCAGTAGTCAGCATAATACTAGCACATGCTGAGAGTGCAATAGCAAGCTTCACCATTGCTCATGGCCATGCAAATGTTCAGCAGCACTCAGTTCCGCAAGCTTCTGAAGATCAGCACACCTGCAACAAATAGATAGCACAAGGATACGCTTATTACCGTAATGATGCATGGGAGCACACAACTACCAAGTTCTCAAAAAATGCGATGCTCAATGAAAATCCATCCACTCAAAGACCTGTGAACAGGTGATGGTGGGGACAATAATCTATTAGTAATACGAGGAATAAGGTCGTTTGTGCACACTCAAGACGCACAGACACACCGCCATACATGTAGTGTACACAGTGTTTCACTTCACTGTAACTAAATTGAAATGAGATGATTTGAACAATCTGTACAGCGTTGCCGTCAGTCAGTCTTCCCCAAGATGGAAATGCAATGATTTGTTGTCACGAGGCAGTTTCACTGACACAATGTCATGTTTGTGACATCAAAACGGTTACTTCATGGAATACGAGTACAAGTATTAGCTTGAGAAGCTTTTTCTTGTCATCGGCACACAAGAAATCCTCCTACTACTATTACTAGTAGATCTACACTGGCACTGCGTTTGTGGATCCCATTGTATTTGACATCATACTAGAGCCTAGTAGAGGAAGAGTGTCGTGGAGTTCACATAATTATCACAGGGATAAAAATACATTTCTCATGATATAAAATAATAATTGATGATAGCTGACAATCGTATACGATTGATGCAAAGTCCTTGCAGTCCTTGAGGATTATTACGAAGTGGTTGATTACTTTTAGGGCATTCATTCAAGCAACATCAAACAGACGCGATACGCTCCTTGAAAATGGAAACAAATTCAAGCATAACGACAGAACAGCAAACCAATCGAAACTAGTAAAAGCTTCCTTACCTCAGTCATCGTCCTGCCATGTAGTTGGACAGCCTTTTGACAC